ACTGTCCGAAATACGTATAGAATTTGTTTGAAATTTGCAAGACGTTTACATTTCTTACTGTTAGATACAATATTTTCGTTGTACATGTGTCAAGTTTTCTTTTCACTTTACATGTATCGGGCCTTCTTTTCACTTTACACGTGTCGGGCATCTTTTCACTTTATATGTGCCAGGCCTTCTTTTCACTTTACATGTGTTGGGCCTTCCTTTCACTTTACAATTGTCTGGGCTACTTTTCACTTTACACGTGTCGAGCCTTCTTTACTTTACATGTGTCGGGCCCTCTTTTCACTTTACACGTGTCGGGCCTTGTTTTCACTTAACATGTATCGGGCCCTCTTTTCACTTTACATTTGTAGTGCCCTCTTTTCACTTTACATGTGTTGGGCCCTCTTTTCACTTTACATGTGTCGTGCCCTCTTTCACTTTACATGTATCGTGGGCCTTTTCACTTTTACATTTGTAGTGCCCTTTTCACATTTACATGTGTAGGGCCCTTTCACTTTTACATGTATCGGGCCCTCTTTTCACTTTACATGTGTAGGGTCTTCTTTTCACTTTACATGCATCGGGCCCTCTTTTCACTTTACATTTGTCGTGCCCTCTTTTCACTTTACATATGTAGGGCCTTCTTTTCACTTTATATGTATCAGGCCCTCTTTTCACTTTACATTTGTCGTGCCTTCTTTTCACTGTACATTTTGTTGGGCCCTCTTTTCACTTTACATGTGTTGGGCCTTCTTTTCACTTTACATTTTGTTGGGCCCTCTTTTCACGTTACATGTATCGGGCCCTCTTTTCACTTTACATGTGTAGGGCCCTCTTTCACTTTACATGTGTTAACCCCTCTTTTCACGTTACATGTATCGGGCCCTCTTTTCACTTTACACATGTCGGGCCTCTCTTTCACTTTTACATGTGTTGGGCCCTCTTTTTCATCGTTACATGTATCGGGCCCTTTTCACTTTTTGTATCGTGGCCCTCTTTTCACTTTACATGTGTTGGGCCCTCTTTTCACTTTACATGTATCGTGCCCTCTTTTCACTTTACATGTGTAGGGTCTTCTTTTCACTTTACATGTATCGGGCCCTCTTTTCACTTTACATGTGTAGGGTCTTCTTTTCACTTTACATGTATCGGGCCCTCTTTTCACTTTACATTTGTCGTGCCCTCTTTTCACTTTACATGTGTCGGGCCTTCTTTCACTTTACATGTATCGGGCCCTTCTTTTCACTTTACATGTGTCGGGCCTCTTTTCACTCTTGTCACTCTTTTACATGTATCAGGCCCTCTTTTCACTTTTTACATGTATCGGGCCTTCTTTTCACTTTACATGTGTCGGGTCTTCTTTTCACTTTACATGTGTCGGGCCCTCTTTTCACTTTACATGTGTCGGTCTTCTTTCACTTTACATGTGTAGGGCCTTCTTTTCCACTTTACATGTTGGGCCTTCCTTTTCACTTTATAATTGTGTGGGCTACTTTTCACTTTACACGTGTCGAGCCTTGTTTTCACTTTACATGTGTCGGGCCCTCTTTACACTTTACATCGTGTCGGGTTTTCATTTTAACTTTACATGTGCCAGGCCCTTTTCACTTTTCACGTGTCGGGCCTTCTTTTACTTTTTATGTGTCTTCTTTTTACTTATACCCCAAGTGAGTGCCAGGATCTGGAATCCTAGAAGTGCCCCTGTTTATGAGCATTCTCTTTAAAACTGATTGCTATTTGATGATAAACTCCTATATGTCACAGCTTTGTCTGAGCTGTCGTGACCACAGGCACCCTGACCAGTATGAAACATGGATATGTTAGCGAGTTTGTTGAAAATCTCCGTGTTCTAATAACTAAACGGTCAGTTGTGAACACACTACTTGTGTGACAAGAATGAAGAAGAATATTTTTTTTTGATAGTGATGCATAAAGACAATACAGTCAGAATCGTACAATGGACTTTACCTGAAGTTTCTTATTAGATTGTGGACAAAGCGTTCTGTCACTTATATCTTATTAAATCAAGTCCATATATAATCAATAATATCTTAGTCGATGTCAGATTTATTTGGTGCTGTTGTTGCTGTTGCTGTTGTTGATGATGATGATGTTTAACGCCCCACACTCCAAAATCAGATACAATACAGCGGTTACCGTCTGCATTTCATAACCAGATCCAAGTTTCAACGGTCTTAATGTTCAACTACATGAATGTTTACCGCAAAACTCACTGCCATTGGAAGACGGACAAATAACACTGGCTCCAATAGTCGAATACAACACCCTTGGAGCACTGGCTCCACGTGTCAGCCCTCTTTTCACTCTTTCATGTTTACATGTATCGGCTTTCCCTCTTTCACGTTACATGTGTCGTGCCTTCTTTTCCTGTACATGTGTCCCTCTTTCACCTTTTCCACTTTACATGTGTCGGTCCTTGAAATTCTTTCACTTTGATGCATCGTCCGTGTACCTCCCTCTTTCACCTCTTTTTTCATTTACATGTGTCGTGCCCTCTTTTCACTTTACATTTTGTGTGGGCCCTCTTTCACTTTACATGTATCGGCCCCTTTTTTCACTTTTCATGTGTCGGGGTCCTCTTCACATGTGTAGGGTCTTTTCACTTTTACATGGCATCTTCCTCTTTCACTTTTTACATGTGTCGTCGCCCTCTTTCACTTTTACACTTTTCTTTCAACCTCTTTACATTTATCGGGTCTTCTCTTTCACTTTTTTTCATGTGTCAGGCCCTCTTTTCACATACATTCCTACATGTATCGGTCCTCTTTTCACTTTACATGTGTAGGGTCTTCTTTTCACTTTTACATGTATCGGGCCCTCTTTTCACTTTTACATGTGTAGGGCTTCTTTTCACTTTACATGTATCGGGACCCTCTTTTTCACTTTACATGTATCGGGCCTTCTTTTCACTTTATCGGGCCCTCTTTTTCGCACGTTACATGTATCGGGCCCTCTTTTCACTTTACATGTGTGGGGCCCTCTTTTCACTTTGTATCGTGCCCCATCTTTTCACTTTACATGTGTAGGGTCTTCTTTTCACTTTACATGTATCGGGCCCTCTTTTCACTTTACATGTGTAGGGTCTTCTTTTCACTTTACATGTATCGGGCCCTCTTTTCACTTTACATTTGTCGGGCCCTCTTTTCACTTTACATGTGTAGGGTCTCTTTCTCTTTACTTTTTCACATGTATCGGGCCCTCTTTTCACTTTACATGTGTCGTTCCCTCTTTTCACTTTACATGTGTAGGGCCTTCTTTTCACTTTACATGTATCGGGCCCTCTTTTCACTTTACATGTGTAGGGCCTTCTTTTCACTTTACATGTGTCGGGTCTTCTTTTCTCTTTACATGTATCGGGCCCTCTTTTCACTTTACATTTGTCGTGCCCTCTTTTCACTTTACATGTGTAGGGCCTTCTTTTCACTTTACATGTATCGGGCCCTCTTTTCACTTTACATGTGTCGGGCCTTCTTTTCACTTTACATGTGTAGGGCCCTCTTTTCACTTTACATGTGTAGGGTCTTCTTTTCACTTTACATGTGTAGGGCCCTCTTTTCACTTTACATGTGTTGGGCCCTCTTTTCACGTTACATGTATCGGGCCCTCTTTTCACTTTACATGTGTAGGGCCCTCTTTTCACTTTACATGTGTAGGGTCTTCTTTTCACTTTACTTGTATCGGCCCTCTTTTCACTTTACATTTGTCGTGCCCTCTTTTCACTTTACATGTGTAGGGCCTTCTTTTCACTTTACATGTATCGGGCCCTCTTTTCACTTTACATGTGTCGGGCCTTCTTTTCACTTTACATGTGTAGGGTCTTCTTTTCACTTTACATGTATCGGGCCCTCTTTTCACTTTACATGTGTAGGGTCTTCTTTTCACTTTACATGTATCGGGCCCTCTTTTCACTTTACATTTGTCGTGCCCTCTTTTCACTTTACATGTGTAGGGCCTTCTTTTCACTTTACATGTATCGGGCCCTCTTTTCACTTTACATGTGTCGGGCCTTCTTTTCACTTTACATGTGTCGGGTCTTCTTTTCTCTTTACATGTATCGGGCCCTCTTTTCACTTTACATATGTAGGGCCTTCTTTTCACTTTACATGTATCGGGCCCTCTTTTCACTTTACATGTGTAGGGTCTTCTTTTCACTTTACATGTGTCGGGCCCTCTTTTCACTTTACATGTGTAGGGTCTTCTTTTCACTTTACATGTGTAGGGCCTTCTTTCCACTTTACATGTGTTGGGCCTTCCTTTCACTTTACAATTGTGTGGGCTACTTTTCACTTTACACGTGTCGAGCCTTGTTTTCACTTTACATGTGTCGGGCCCTCTTTACACTTTACACGTGTCGGGTTTTCATTTAACTTTACATGTGCCAGGCCCTCTTTTCACTTTTCACGTGTCGGGCCTTCTTTTTACTTTACATGTGTCTTCTTTTTACTTTTACCCCGCGAGTGCCAGGATCTGAATCCTAGAAGTGCCCCTGTTTATGAGCATTCTCTTTAAAACTGATTGCTATTTGATGATAAACTCCTATATGTCACAGCTTTGTCTGAGCTGTCGTGACCACAGGCACTGACCAGTATGAAACATGGATATGTTAGCGAGTTTGTTGAAAATCTCCGTTCTAAGAACTAAACGGTCAGTTTTGAACACACTTGTGTGACAAGAATGAAGAAGAATATTCTCTTTTTGATAGTGATGCATAAAGACAATACAGTCAGAATCGTACAATGGACTTTACCTGAAGTTTCTTATTAGATTGTGGACAGCGTTCTGTCACTTATATCTTATTAAATCAAGTCCATATATAATCAATAATATCTTAGTCGATGTCAGATTTATTTGGTGCTGTTGTTGCTGTTGCTGTTGTTGATGATGATGATGTTTAACGCCCCACACTCCAAAATCAGATACAATACAGCGGTTACCGTTTGCATTTCATAACCAGATCCAAGTTTCAACGGTCTTAATGTTCAACTACATGAATGTTTACCGCAAAACTCACTGCCATTGGAAGACGGACAAATAACACTGGCTCCAATAGTCGAATACAACACCCTTGGAGCACTGGCTCCAATAGTCAAGTCGAATACAACGTGCTAGAAACAGTGGTTCCACAAGTCGAGTACAACACCCTTGAAGTAGTGGCTGCAATAGTCGAGTACAACACCCTTCAAGCAGTGGTTCCACAAGTCGAGTACAACCCCCTTGAAGTAGTGACTCCAATAGTCAAGTACAACACCCTTGAAGTAGTGGCTGCAATAGTCGAGTACAACACCCTTCAAGAAGTGGTTCCACAAGTCGAGTACAACCCCCTTGAAGTAGTGACTCCAATAGTCGAGTACAACACCCTTGAAGCAGTGGCTGCAATAGTCGAGTACAACACCCTTCAAGCAGTGGTTCCAATAGTCGAGTACAACACCCGTGAAGCACTGGCTCCAGTAGTCGATTACAACACTCTTGGAGCAGTGGCTCCAACAGTCGAGTACAACACCCTAGAAGTAGTGGCTCCAATAGTCGAGTACAACACCCTTGAAGCAGGGGTTCCACAAGTCGAGTACAACACCCTTGGAGCAGTGGTTCCACAAGTCGAGTACAACACCCTAGAAGTAGTGGCTCCAATAGTCGAGTACAACACCCTTCAAGCAGTGGTTCCACAAGTCGAGTACAACACCCTTCAAGCAGTGGTTCCACAAGTCGAGTACAACACCCTAGAAGTAGTGGCTGCAATAGTCGAGTACAACACCCTTCAAGCAGTGGTTCCACAAGTCGAGTACAACACCCTAGAAGTAGTGGCTCCAATAGTCGAGTACAACACCCTTCAAGCAGTAGTTCCACAAGTCGAGTACAACACCCTTGAAGTAGTGGCTCCAATAGTCGAGTACAACACCCTTGAAGCACTGGCTCCAATAGTCGAGTACAACACCCGTGAAGCACTGGCTCCAGTAGTCGATTACAACACTCTTGGAGCACTGGCTCCAATAGTCAGTTGGAGCACCCTTGAAGTAGTGACTCCAACAGTCGATTACAACACCCTTGAAGCAGTGGCTCCAACAGTCGAGTACAACACACTGGTCTGAGATTTGTTTAATCAACGTTAACAGCATGGTGGCCCAGGCTTGTAAAGCGACAACACTCGCTAGAGTTGTGTCCCTTGGGCATATAAGGATCCTTGTATCGTCGACTATGTTGCGTTACTTAATTGTGCCACCACCCTCTGATCTCAGATTTGCCCTGCTTTGTGGGCATTGGATTCTGTAATTGTGAGCCCTGACCTTAAACAGACTACTAAGAGACACCATTCATATTTCAATCACATGAACACCCCGTTTACCCCGGAGATGTAACCAAGCAGCGAGTAACATAATGAAAAAGTATTAATCTGCAAGTTTATTTTAAATGCTGAAGCAGTTTAGCAGAAAGACAATAACTTATTTCATACAGGAATATGCAGCTGTCGTGCTGACGTGTATCAGTCTACATGGTTCAAGGACACAGCAGGATACAAGTTATAACTTACAATACTGCAAGGGCAGGAACCACATTCTCGTGTCTTCTGACACGACTGTCATTGTTAATGTGACCTCCAAGTTCACTTCTCGCCATCATGCGGGTAATCATATATGTACATTAAACACGCGATTTAACCTCAAGAAACATAGTCACCGCCGTCCATGCAGTGGGAGAGACGTCAAGGTTGACAGCGTCAGACATACACAGCGTGATTTCAACCTACTGGGCTAAATATACTGGAACATCAGATAAACTGCCCGTGACAATGCCCGACAGGAGGTATGTGTACTGGTAAGTAAGTTTCACTCTTGAAATACTGTCTCTCAGTCTCACTTGATTGTATTTAGCAGATGCCCTCGATAATCTCCAAATGGAACGTTAGAAACATGACTTGTCTGCTGCATGTGCTCAGTGTCTCGTCCACTACGTACTCATACTTACATAGGGTACTAGTTATAAGGGCTAATTTAACGAGGCTTTCGGTTGAAATGTATTTGCTAAGTCACCACTTTGATATTAATGCACCAGTCAATCAATCAATCAATCAATTTTATTTCGTAACAAGGCCTTAGGCCCACGTACAATACAAATAAGCATGTGTAATTATAAGATAGTGGCATTTGACAATCAGGTTTATGTGTATAAAGAACGCATTGACAATGCTTCCTTAATGTAAGAAGAACAATTTGTTAGTGTTGAAAACTTTGTACAGGATAATGTGTTTAGAAAGTATATAGCGCAAATCATGATAAATTTTACATTCAAATAGGAAATGAGATTCATTTTCTACAAAATTATCATTACAAATATTACATAGTCTTTGGTGCCTCGGAACTCCATCAAATCTACCGGTATTTTTATATATTGGAAGTGCACCGATTCGTAACATTGTTATTCGACGCCTCGCATCTTTAGATTTCAATAAAGTTAAATATGGCTCAATGCAAAATACACTTTTGATACTGGAATAGACATCAAGCGATGAACATTTGTGCATTTCTGAAAATATGAATTGCTTCTGACAATCACCAACTCTTACATGAAAATCTTTCAAAAATTGTTCCTCGTTGCCAACTCCTTGAGCTTCCCACACAAAACCAAAACCATAATTGAACAAAGTATTTCGGACAAAATATACCCACGTTTTCCTACCAACTTTGTCTAAATTGTGCAACATAATATAGCACTGCTTTGGATTTCTATCCTTTGGTAAGCGTAAAGGTTGAACCAATACTTCATAACACGTAATAAACTATCAACATAAATATAATTTCTACCACATTCCGCCAATACAGCAGCATTAGAGCATGTATAACTTACGCCCAACACATACTTACAAAATCTGATGTGAAACTGTTCAATAACATGCCATTTCCGAAACCCCCATATTTCCGAAGCGTACAAAATTATCGGCTTTATCTGAACGTCAAAGATTTTGAACAAAATAATTGGAGAAATATTTTTAAGTCTCCTACCAAAAACCTTAACTGATCACAAGGCGTTATTCGCTTTATTTACCAGATTTTGAACCGATTTAGACCATAAAGGTCTATTTGAAAACAATAAACCCAAATAATTATAATATGTAGAAACGTTAAGCTTATGATCATCAAAGTACCATGATTCATACCGCCTTAATTTACCACCATTTCTAAACACTAGCACCTCTGTTTTCTCAAAATTTACAGACGATCCCCATTTTTTGCAAAACTGTAGTAATACATTGATCTTCCTCTGAAGACTAATGGCAGAATCTGCAAACAATTAATGCATTACTTTATGATAAAACACAAATACGCCTTTCAATCTGACAGCATCATCTTCCTTGTCGCTTATCGAAATGGGTAGAAACTGAGCCGGAAGTTAGTTTTACAGCACCATGACACCACATACTTCCGGTTTGGTTTGGCCTTCAAACGTTCCAGCCTTGACCTTTCTATATGTTGTTACATAGACAGTATTGCAACTGTTTGTCTCTGTTGATTGTCTGGTAATAACATCAGTACTACACCCGCTTCAGTTCCGTATCTAGTGTCCTTCCTGAAATATTTGGAATCTACCAAATTCGAATAATGTCTCTTCCTCACACCCGTCTTAATGTTTCAACAACGCGTCCATACGAATCGTAGTATACAGTGTATTGCAATACGGCAACACCATTTAACTGTCAATACCCTGGCACACGACACTAACAACATTGTGACCTATACGTTTTGTATGTGATGATGCTTTCTTGGAGACTTGAGCTTCCGAAAGTCAGTTTTAATTTATGTTTCATCCTTCCAAAGATATTTCCTTTCCTGCAATATCTCGGCAAGCTGTTTGTTGAACGTTAAGTAGAACCGATCTAGTAAAATGCGGGTATCCTTTCTCATTGGCCCGGCAGTCTTTTTCTGCTTAGTCACGTGTTTCCGTTCACGCCCGGCTATTTCCGTAATTTCATCGTCGGACAGTTTGGCTGTAACACAGCAATAGGAATAGCATGCAGTCAAACACAGTTGTTCAATACTTGGAAGAATATGCCAATTGTTCAGAGAATATTGTTGATCTCCAACCTTTGTTTGTATGTTGTTTAACTCAGCATTTTTTGTTGAGATCGAAGTTGAACTGATATAGAATATCAGACAAATGTCTGTTCGAACACTGTTTATATTGGACAAAGACTACTGGAAAGGTCACTGATCAAAACTGTTCTTTGATTTCATGGTTACTATCGAGCTGAGGAGAGATGAAGAAAGGGGAGGTGGGGTGGGGTGAGGTAGGTTAGTTGAAGTAAAGCGGGGTGAAGTAAGTTGAGGTTGGGGGAGGTGATCAAGTTTCAACGTCGTTGCCATGATTATTGCACGTATATGATGACGTGCGTGTTCGTACGTGTGTCTGCTCAGCCGGGTTAGTGCCGGTGTCATAGTGCTACCTCTGAGAAACACGTAAATTGACACAGCTTAACATGGAAACCTCGTTCAAACTAAACACCAGAGCCCACCAGTTCTTTGTTTTCCCTTAATGTCGAGCAAGACAGGGCAATAACAAGTAGCCAAGTACCGTCTTCCAACGGACCAAACCACGGAACCTCCGCTCTCCGTACATGTGGCTTACCCACTACACCACAGACGGTGAGACACACAGTATCGATATTGGATGTTCCTGCTTGTAACCCGGACCATGTAGTCACCACTGTCTCACTCGATGTACAGTCACCCGTAACAGTGAGTGAGCATGGTTTTACGCCGCTTTTAGCAAAATTCCAGAACGGAACACAAAAAATTGGCTTCACACATGGTACGCATATGGGGAATCGAAAGGACAAGCAAATGCGTTAAGCCCCATCGTTAATACGGACGACACTGTTCCCCTTGAATTGCTTAATGTCATGAGTGGGATGAGTGAGTGAGTCGGGTTTTACCCGCTTTTAGCAATATTCCAGGAATATCACGGCAGGGGACACCACAAATGGGCTTCACACATTGTACCCATGTGGGGAATCGAACCCGGGTCTTAGGCGTGACGAGCGAACGTTTTGACCACGAGGCTACCCCACCGCCCCCATTAGGATGAACGAATGTTAGGTCTGTACATACAGAGTGACAACTAGGGGTAATCACCTGGGTGAAGGTGACAGCGTTTTTCTGACTTAATTCAAAAGAACGTTCAGCCGAACACACACTTACTGACGTTGAGGAAGCGAAACACTTTGTGTAAGTGATCTTTGATGTTTCTTTTGTAATCTTCAGTCCGCAGGATGAGAAAACTTTGTCTGGGAAAAACGGACAACCATTCTTTCAAGAAGACTGCATAACACCCAACGTGTATCCGCGTCTAGAACAGACATGGAATACATGTACATTCCGTCCTCCTATCCACTCATGAGGTAACAGATATGGTAGAGGATATGGAATGGTAATATAAACAAATACAAAATCTCAAGTAGTTATTAAACTGCCAGGCAAAGAAAGATCGAAAACTTACCACAGTTACTAACGTTTCTAGACTGTCCTATTGTGACACACTCATTGGATCACCTATGGTACCCTGGATCATCTATATACCCTGGATCACCTATGATGTCCTGGATCACCTATGGTACCCTGGATCATCTATATACCCTGGATCATCTATATGCCCTGGATCATCTATATAACCTGGATCACCTATGGTACCCTGGATCACTTATTGTACCCTGGATCACTTATTGTACCCTGGATCACTTATTGTACCCTGGATCATCTATGTACCCTGGATCACTTATTGTACCCTGGATCACTTATTGTACCCTGGATCATCTATTGTACCCTGGATCAGCACCCGACTTACTTATGGACTCACTGGTAGTGCCAGACTTATGGACTTACTGGTAGTGCCAGACTTATGGACTTACTGGTAGTGCCAGACTTATGGACTTACTGGTAGTGCCAGACTTATGGACTTACTGGTAGTGCCAGACTTACGGACTTACTGGTAGTGCCAGACTTATGGACTTACTGGTAGTGCCAGACTTATGGACTTACTGGTAGTGCCAGACTTATGGACTTACTGGTAGTGCCAGACTTATGGACTTACTGGTAGTGCCAGACTTATTGACTTACTGGTAGTGCCAGACTTATGGACTTACTGGTAGTGCCAGATTCATCCGACGATCAAACAGGCACCATCGGACTGTTCTGTTCCTGAAGCACGTCTCCAACTGATCCAGCGCCTCAATAGTGTGTTTGTGGAACGTGTCTGGAGTCAACCCGTCTCCCATGAATATGTAATCAGAATATAATCTGAAAAAGACATCACCATAGATAGCATCAGTTCAATGAACCACAAAGTCGAAATACATCAGGAAATACTGATTGCATGTGACAAAGGTCGGATCTCAACTAGACACCCGTAAACCAGTAAATGAGTGACACATGTAGAAAACTTATGATGACCCCTAAATTAACTTGGACAATTGTACGGTGCTTCCTAACAGATTGTAAGCGTCCATGGTACTTTGTCCTACCATTTATCCGACACTCCAAGACACGATCGCCCCTGTGCCTTAACTGTGATAGCTCAAGGCAAAATACAGGGATTACATCATGTACATGATGTATGTAATCCCTGGAAATACATATTCTAACATGCATGTCGTAGTACGTGTGAGAAAGACGGAAAACGTTTGAAACAACCTAGACCAATAGCCTACCGTTCTGTTGGGTTCCTCAACAAAATAATAAACTTTGGGTCTCTGTAGAGGTGGCTCATCAAGTGAGGGGTTAGCACTTCCGGTTCCTCCAAACCCTCATTCTGGGGAATAATTGTCCAGCCCCGAAAATCCCAGAAATCAAGAGGCGTTCCGTCCCCTGAAGTAGAAGTGTGTCAGTATAAGTAGAAGTCAGTCCCCTGAAGTAGAAGTGTTTCAGTATAAGTAGAAGTCAGTATAAGTAGAAGTGTTTCAGTATAAGTAGAAGTGGGTTGGAATTATTTGCCGAAAACGAAAATGGAATGGAGATAAAACGATAATCGCTCCTTCACGTGTATAGTTTACAATTATGTTTAATCAGAAGATAATTTGAATGTGATGGTTTGTGACGACATTTCCATCGAAGAGTCTGGTCACATGATTGTTAAGACATATTTTGATACCCATTCGTTCTTTGGGGAGACTGAATTCCAGAAATTATGCCAACTCCTACAATCCCGGGAAACACTCAAGCATGTTTCTAATCAATTAAACACTGGAGTCTTACAGTCAGGGTGTCAGCTTACACTGAAAGTCGCAACAACTGTTCCTATGAAACATTGTGGAGAAATAGACAACAAACAACCAGAAGCTTGAGAGGCAATGACACGCAGTGTATGGGTTTACTTATATTCGAATTCACACATACACGACACATCTTTATGATCGCTTTATATGATCAGCCCGTTGATTCCCGCCACCTTAGTGCCACGCCACCATTACACTGGCAAGTTCAATACCCAGATTGTCTGTACTGCACAACTAGCATACACTCCCTGATCTCTCCTTTCGGTGGCAACGAACTGTCAAGGTGTGATGTTATCGTTACATGCATATCTATCGACGAACAGAGAATACGTTCACGGGTACTAATATATACTTTGTGCACTTAGGCATCGTGTAGAAATTGCATGCATGATTCATACACACATAAGAAAAGGCGATCTTGGAACACCATCTGTGGTAGCTTGTTCTGTTACGCATTTGTCGTCCTTTCGCGTTCACAGATGTTCTCTATTAGCTATAGTCTCTTTCCCCAGTTACTTTCATCGTATATCAGAGCTGTTCAGCGATATATATTCTCCATGGGCAGATAATGACCTTTTATTTGAGGCATTTAATACGTAATTTGTACCATTTGACTGTTATTGATTTTGTGACAGAATCGCAGCCCATTGTAATGACTATCGTCAAACGGTAACTAACCCAACAGTCATGGAATATTCATGACTTGCATGTATATATACAGTTATAGAGATCTGTATACCAATTATGTGATCGTGGAATCCATTTGTAGATGCCTGTCTTATAAGTTCTTTGCCTTTCTTCATCCGGAAAATATAATGTTCGACTGTTTCTTTCGTCTTCATGTTCCAGGCTCTAATCCCATAACCTGCAATATATACATCCTGTCATAAAAAAGATAGATCATCTTTATTTCCTCCAAACATATGAGGGGCGGTGGGGTAGCCTAGTGGTTAAAGCGTTCGCTCGTCACGTCGAAGATCCGGGTTCGAATCCCCACATGGGTACAATGTGTGAAGCCCATTTCTGGTGTCCCCCGCCGTGATGTTGCTGGAATATTGCTAAAAGCGGCGTAAAACCAAACTCAGTCAGTCAGTCCAAACATATGAAGACTGTTGCACGTTACAGCAATATGTCTAGTTGAATATGCAATGAATCAGTAAACACTTACTTGTGCAAGACTGTCATAAAAGCAGACACTGACAACATAACCTTCCCCCATTCTGTCATATTTAAATTACCAAGTGTTGTACAAGATCCACCAAGCAAATATGCAATTACTTCATCATCATCATTTCTCCAAAATTCAACAAAATCAGATATTGATATAATATCACATATCCTTTCAAACATTTCATTTCCCAAATCATTAAGATCTGTACAGGAAATAATAACATGTTTAACAATATCAAAGCTACTATTAAACATATGCATTCTCTGGATTCAATCTTTTTACAGCCAACATGAAGAATATAAGAGATTTTGTAAAATTTATGCTTATTAATCAAAGCTAGTTCCCACAGTGACGGCACTGATAAGACAATATCTATCTCTAGATATTGTCTTATCTCGGATAAGACAATATCTAGAGAGATCCCATCCTCGATAATCTCCAGGGTATACGTTACGATCACTATCCACTATAGTGGAGAGTGATCGTAACCTTTTCCCCTTGGAGATTATCGAGGATGGAGAGATCCTCTCTCGCTGCAATCTGGTGACACAACAAACTCTCATAAGAATCACAAATTCTGGATTTCACAACATCATTCCATTTTGCTTTAGAACATATAACCCCTGTTGTGATGTATGTATTAACAGCGCCAAACAAGCCATACTTGTTTACGAGCTTAACCGAGTACAGGATAGGTGACGGGGATTTACCAATGATGATCATACATCTGGATTCAAATAGACGACGAAGAAATAATTGCTTAACAACATAGGCATCATTTAGACGGCAAATTCTACCAAACATAAGCAAACAAGATATTTCTACATACCCTTGAATTGGCAGTAGACCCAGGGTATCTAGAACCACAGGAGAGGCAGTGCGTTTAGGCAGACCTCGTACCTTTCTACAGAAATACCTTTGTGTTAACTCCAACACGTCCAATTCTTTTGATGCTAAGCTGCTCCAGACAGTACAACCATATAGAGCACATGGTAAAATTGATACAAACCCAAAACCGAATACACAATAAGTAGCAAGTAAACGGCACAAACAACTCACCATATCGGAATGTGCTCCAGTAGAACATCTCCTTCCCGGAAAGACCATCATGAGCGTCTATCTCCGGGTGGGCTAAGATCCGGGCGAAGAGATCAGTGGTGCCACACTTGTCGACGCCAAGCAAGTGGAAATACGGCAAGCAGAGGACGTCGTTGAAGCCATTCCTCAATCTTTGGTGAAAACAAGGGTTCTTGTAGTCTTGTAAGAACTCGAACTTCTTCTGTTGACACGAGAGAGAAATGGAGCATGAATCATATTGGACTACGCGTGGTAGGAAACACTTTAGTCAGCTCTGGACGATCACTGAAAATATTGCTGTTTGTGGTTTCCATGACCTTTGTTCCAGTTGCAAGAGGATGGCCTGTAATAATCAAGTCTGGACCAGACTATCCAGTGACTGGCACCATGAACATCGATTTACAAGCTGGGATACGATGACATGCATCAACTAGGCCAGCAATCTTGACCACCACATCCCACTGGGCGCATCTTGTGAACAGTTTGGTTTGTTGAAGAGCAATTCTGACCCTCGTTTTTACCGGGGACTGTGTAGAATTACAATGATTGATTTGTACCTAGAGTGTCTATAGTAGCTCCGGAAATGTCTTACTTCAGGCATCAGAAACTTTATTTTATATATAGATATACGCATTGTGACTAAGGTTGACCTGTCACAATAATTAACACTGAGTTTGGGAAAACGTATGTTGATGACAAATATGATTATGTATGTTGAAAACTTGAAACACGACGACCACGACGGTAAAGTCCTCCCTATATGTGTCAGCTGTTGCTACTGTCAGCAAACTGACAGCACTGTAAAGACAAACACCATCGACTGCGGCCTCTCTTACCCAGACGTAAGCTAGCGATTTCACATAAAGATATTTAGTTCAGTCGCGCTCGATACAACTGGCTAGTAGACCAGATACCATGTAAACATCCAGCTGTAACACAACACCCAGGCAACAGTTTAGGATTCTGAGGCAACAGTTTAGGATTATGACACAACAGTTTAAGATTCTGAGGCAACAGTTTAAGATTCTGAGGGAGGGGCTTTAGCAACAGTTTAGGATTATGACGCAACAGTTTAATATTCTGAGGCAACAGTTTAGGATTATGACGCAACAGTTTAATATTCTGAGGCAACAGTTTAGGATTATGACGCAACAGTTTAGGATTCTGAGAAGAAGGTGCTTTAGCATGCAGTCAAAACACACGGAGCTCAACTGCTTCAAAGTGTTAGTTCCGGATATCTTGTTAATGAGGCCCTGCAGACATTAGATCATTGTGTCGATACTAGATCATTGTGTCGATACTAGATAATTGTGTCGATACTAGATCATTGTGTCGATACAAGATCATTGTGTCAGGTACAGATGCTACTACCATTTGGGATTCGAACACAAACTCTCAGAGTGAGGCGATCACCAGCAAACAAAGTCAGCTATCTTCTCCACTTCCACTTTCCTTAACTTGTGCAATCAACCATATAACACATGACATATAGCGCTGATATCAGAGCATTGTGTCTGTATGAAACCAAATTTTATATCTGTGTGCCATATCAGACCATAATTTTGACATTACCCATTGTTCCGATATTACTCATTGTTCCCACATTACCCATTTTTCCAACATTATCCATTGTTCCAAAATTACTCATTGTCCCGACATTATCCATTATTCCGAAATTGCGCCATTGTACCTATGTGACTGTCAGAGCCAGAATTAGACCACAACGTACATATTAAACCATTAACATATGCTTGAGTGAGTGAGTGGATTATTATACGTATTGGTGATGTTTCTACATTTCAGCACTACTGCTGCCTTGAAATAAAGCATACCTGGTGAATACATTTTAAGAACCATTCAGTTAATGGTGAAAACCTTTCCAAACTTTAACTATATTACGGTCTACAAGACCATTTTAAAGCGCACTTTGAACAGTTTATAAAACGCGATATGCTTTGCTTGCCAAACTTGTATAATGCATGAATTCGAACCCACTTTTTATTGGTGAAGATGTTAGAATTGAGAATGTTTACAAAAACCTGAATACCTTTGAGAACGCATGGTCGAAATACAAAGTTAAATTTTAAGGCAAAATGTCCTTTAAATGGACATGGAGACTGAATCAATACTTCTGTTGTCTTGTGTTCATGTGGAGAAAAACGATCAAGCGGTTTCTGCGCAGAGGGATATTTGCAGACACTGTCAGAACATAAGACACGGTTACCTTGCCGTTATCTTGGTCTTACATCTTAGTTTGTGAGTTCCTTAAGTAGTGTGCTAGGCCTTAGCGTACCGTTGTCTGTACTGATGTTCTCTTTATGTTCTATGTATGTTCTCTTTATGTTCTATGTATGTTCTCTTTATGTATGTATGTTCTCTTTATGTTCTATGTATGTTCTCTTTATGTTCTATGTATGTTCTCTTTATGTTCTATGTATGTTCTCTTTATGTTCTATGTATGTTCTCCTCTGTATGTTCTCTCTTGTATGTATGTTGTTCTCTTATGTTCTCTATGTATGTTCTCTTTATGTTCTATGTATGTTCTCTTTATGTGGTCTGTATGTTCTCTTTATGTTCTATGTATGTTCTCTTTATGTTCTATGTATGTTCTCATGTATGTATGTTCTCTTTATGTTCTATGTATGTTCTCTTTATGTTCTATGTATGTTCTCTTCTCATGTGGTATGTATGTTCTCTTTATGTATGTATGTTCTCCTTTATGTTCTATGTATGTTCTCTTTATGTTCTATGTATGTTCTCTTTATGTTCTATGTATGTTCTCTTTATGTTCTATGTATGTTCTCTATATGTTCTATGTATGTTCTCTCTATATGTTCTGTATGTTCTCTATATGTTCTATGTATGTTCTCTTTATGTTCTATGTATGTTCTCCTTATGTTCTATGTATGTTCTCTATATGTTCTATGTATGTTCTTCTATGTATGTTCTATGTATGTTCTCTTTATGTTCTATGTATGTTCTCTTTATGTTCTATGTATGTTCTCCTTGTCTCCATGTATGTTCTATGTATGTTCTCTCCTATGTTCTATGTATGTTCTCCTTATGTTCTATGTATGTTCTCTTATATGTTCTATGTATGTTCTCTATATGTTCTATGTATGTTCTCTTTATGTTCTCTTTATGTTATGTATGTTCCTATGTATGTTCTCTTTATGTTCTCTATGTATGTTCTCTTTATGTTCTCATGTATGTTCTCTTTATGTTCTATGTATGTTCTCTTTATGTTCTCTCATGTCTCATGTTCTCTATATGTTCTATGTATGTTCTCTATATGTTCTATGTATGTTCTCTTTATGTTCTCTGTATGTTCTCCTTTATGTTCTATGTATGTTCTCTATATGTTCTATGTATGTTCTCTATATGTTCTATGTATGTTCTCTATATGTTCTGTTCTATGTATGTTCTCTATATGTTCTATGTATGTTCTCTTTATGTTCTATGTATGTTCTCTTTATGTTCTATGTATGTTCTCTTTATGTTCTATGTATGTTCTCATGTATGTATGTTCTCTTTATGTGGTATGTATGTTCTCTATATGTTCTATGTATGTTCTCTTTATGTTCTATGTATGTTCTCTTTATGTTCTATGTATGTTCTCTTTATGTTCTATGTATGTTCTCTATATGTTCTATGTATGTTCTCTTTATGTTCTATGTATGTTCTCTGTATGTTCTATGTATGTTCTCTATATGTTCTATGTATGTTCTCTATATGTTCTATGTATGTTATCTTTATGTTCTATGTATGTTCTCTTTATGTTCGACCGCCTCCGTGGTGTAGTGGTTAGAGCGTCCGCCCGCAGAGCGGAAGGGTCGCGGGTTCGATCCCCGACCGCGTCGGCTTGGAGTCAGTATAATGTGTCTGAGTGGGGTATTCATGCTTCAGTGGTATCTCAGTGGGCTAGCACTATAAAACCAGCTTCAGTCTGGGCTAGTACAAGCAGCTGCACATACACATTCACACGCATGCACGTCCTCATATGAGAGAAATATTCTCAAGCACGACGTAAAACCCAATTTCACCTCACTTCACCTCACCTCTTTATGTTCTGTGGCATGTCATTCTCAACTGTGTGTTACACACATTAGCGTGAAGCGCATTAAACGTACCGTGTTATATGTTACGTTCAGTGTGTGCTTTCTACATCAGTTTTTGATGAAGGATCATCCGCCAAATGTTACCCATACTTTTTACAGAGTAAATATTTACCAAACAAAAGATATCTTCCGCTTGCCACAAGCGTGTCCTTCCCCGACAGTCAAGCACAGTGCGACCTTGAACTGCCCCTTGTTTTTGACCATCACTTGACCAACCGGAATTTTTGGAATCATAGACCAGCGGATGACGAACGCCTTGGTGCTGGTGTCCCTGAATCTTGGTCTGTGGTGACCTCCCTTGGACGCTGAGCAGGATGCCCAACATCACCAAGCCCTGACACAGACAGAGAAGCCCGAGAGTGACTCTTGTGAGAACAACCTTCCTCCACTCCATCCCAGACACTAGTGTTACCTGGTTGGATGATAGATTCCTTGTCAATAAAACATGTTGTAGTTACATGAACTGAAGTTGCGTATGATCAGTGTGCTGACAATATTACTCAAGGGAGGATTTGATCAGCATGCACATATTTCGCAGGTAAGTGACAATGTTTCAGAACTGAGTCGAGGTCATACATGTGTTATCGATGTATATGCTGTATGAAATGGTTCTTCTTCCGTTTAGACGGTGTCTGCTCTATGAGAGCTTAGTTGAGCGCTCGCCACCTTTACATCAACTGAGGGCTATTTATCTGAAGACATTCCTACATGAACTGAAGGTTATTTTACTCTAGACATGCCTGTAACAACTGAAGGCTACTTTACTGTAGACATGCCTGTAACAACTGAAGGCTACTTTACTGTACACATGCCTACATCAACTGAAGGCTACTTTACTCTAGACATGCCTGTAACAACTGAAGGCTACTTTACTGTAGACATGCCTGTAACAACTGAAGGCTACTTTACTGTAGACATGCCTGTAACAACTGAAGGCTACTTTACTGTAGACATGCCTGTAACAACTGAAGGCTACTTTACTCTAGACATACCTGTAACAACTGAAGGCTACTTTACTCTAGACATGCCTGTAACAACTGAAGGCTACTTTACTCTAGACATGCCTGTAACAACTGAAGGCTAC